CTCTAGAATGCAGTCCATAACATGCTTGATAATTTCAACATGAGAAACAGAATAAAACATATCTTGTACATCTACCAAGGATGTCAGCTCAGGTGAAACTTACGTTGGCCGGGAGAAGCCGATAGTGTTACCTTGTACGTAATGAGCAACACACATCATGAGGAAGGTTGCCAACAACCACAGAGTTGGCATGATGTTTTCACCCCAGGTGGTCAAAATTTCAGGAGCCCTCCACTACGACGTCTCTCATAATCAAATGGTGGTTTTCCAATAGATTATCCGAACAGCGGGTTGTCCGAATGCATACAAGGCGTTTGCGGTCAGGTTAATTCAGGCCGCGATGACATAAGCTGAATGCTTACACGCATTACGCCAGCACTGTTCTTTCGTTACCTGCTCAGCTCTGGGAACCAATCAGCCATTTTGTGAGCACTCATTGGTTTGTGAGATGTCTCAGTACGACATTCACTCCGTCTGGCTCGAAACGGCCCCGCCGTGGTGGTCTAGTGGCTAAGGTACTCGGCTGCTGACCCGCCAGTCGCGGGATCGAATCCCGGCTGCGGTGGCTGCATTTCCGATGGAGGCGAAAACGTTGTAGGCCCGCGTGCTCAGATTCGGGTGCACGTTAAAGAACCACAGGTGGTCGAAACTTCTGGAGCCCTCCACTACGGCGTCTCTCATACTCATATTGTGGTTATGGGACGTTAAACCCCACATGTATATATCTTCCCGCGGCAAATTTTATGTGGGTCAAAGAAGCCGTGGCGTAAACGACCGTTGATGTGAATACCCACTGTCGATCACAAATAATTAAATAGCTAACTCGCCCGCTCACTGCGCAGCCTGGGAATACAAGGTCGTACCCAGGAATAATTTTTGGGAGGTGGTCATGCGCAGAATGGCCAACCTTGGCTATTGTTGATTGATGTGAAGGCGTGTATATACTTCAGTATCACAAAAAAAATAAGCACGAAAGAACTTCAGGGGGTGTAAGAACCACGCAACCCTCCTGCCTCCTAGTTACGGCCTTGTGTTGATGTGGAGCACAATTTCAACAAACTAAGATACTGGGGCATAGGAAAAACACGTATGCTCGTGAGATTTTGGAAGCGTTCTTTATGGACACCAAAAATGATAGTTGCAAGTGATACCTTGGTATCACCCTAGGATACATACGTATAAGGGGAATCAGCGCGCGATATTTTTGGGCGTGTTTGCGCCGATATGTTCAGTTTGCCTAATTAAGCGACGCTCTATGCCCTCAATATGAATAGAGAGCAGTTCGCGCTCTATCTGCATAGTGTTCTTTCTTTGGAATGCCCTTTTCCATTTAGCGCAACTTTTCCTGCATAGAATGAACCGGCTATCTCTTCAATACTTCCTGATTGAAGAAAAACCTCCTTGCGGAACTGTCAAAGGGTTCCGAGAACGTGGCTTTTGCGGGAAGCGTACGAGTTGCCTCCATTTGTTAAACAGCTGCTAATTGAAACGTTGCAAAAACTGTTTTGCTTCGGCGTGTAGTAATTTGAGGGAACACGAGTACAGATGCTATTGCGCGTCTTATGCTTGCTTAGAAAGGACAACGCAAACACGTGTTTCGGGAACAGTAGCTAGAGCACGTGGTTTAAACGTCATTAGATTGAAAAAGTAACAAGGGGCAACGTTGACTGATATGTGGGGTTTAACGTCCCAAAACCATCATATGATTATGAAAGACGCCGCAGTGGAGGGCTCCAGAAATCTCGACCATCTGGGGTTCTTTAACGTTCGCCCAAATCTAAGCACACGGGCCTACAACATTTCCGCCTCCATCGGAAATGCAGCCGCCGCAGCCGGGATTTGAACCCGCGACCCGAACAAGGGGCAAAGTTCACGGCTCATCTTTCCTCCTTCCGGATTCCGAATTCCTCTCTGTGTGCAGCAAAATATACAGAGCGATGCGTCGCCATTGCAATTATCAGCCAATACATGCCTCACGTCGACACACTTTACTTAAACATATCCGGCCTGTGCGTACTGCGCCTCGCTCGAGCCTCCAACATGACGGCATGCACAGGACGGCTGACAGCAATTTAGCATAAGGTCTATTTTTGCTATTAACGAACATTGTCGCCTGGGCGCACCTACTGGCATCAATGCCAGCATTACGTCTCGGTATAACATCAGTTCTCGTGGTGCCATGGACCAGTTATACTAAGTAAGATGACGTCAAGTACGAAAGCGCACGAGATGACCGCTTGGAGGTCACTAAAACATTCCAACGCCCGTCGCCAATGGCACTGCGTTTAAGAATAGCCCTATAAACTTCCCGACATCTTGCGCGAACACGTGTCCGTAAGCTTGTGCCATGTCGTGGTGTTAAGAAACGGGAGGAACCGAAACTAGCTTTTCAATTACGTATTACAATTGATTTGTCAGAGTGTGCTCCCGCTTACCAGCAAATAGCCCTTGCCTCTCCCATATGGACGCTCATTCGAGTGAAAAGAACGACAACAAAACTTTTTTCATGTCAGTACCGCTTAAATCAAGGCGTAGGGTGGTGTAATCGTAGGAGTCGTGACAGGCCACTGCGACTTGATTGATTGTTTGATATGTGGGGTTTAACGTCCCGAAACCGCGATATGATTATGAGAGATGCCGTAGTGGAGGGCTCCGGAAATTTCGACCACATGGGGTTCTTCAACGTGCACCCAAATCTGAGCACACGGGCCTGCAACATTTCCGCCTCCATCGGAAATGCAGCCGCCGCAGCCGGGATTCGAACCCGCGACCTGCGGGTCAGCAGGCGAGTACCTTAACCACTAGACCACCGTGGCGGGAGGCCACTGCGACAACTGCTGTTAAATGCGGCGTTTTGAACTGCGTGTCAGTGTTGCGCGAGAAGTGAGCATTGCGGCAAGTGCGAGATTGAAAATTTTTTTTTTCGCTGGTTTGTTTAACGAACGCCTTCTTGCCAGTGCAAACGCGCGCTTCTCAACAGGAGCCGTCAGTCCGAATAAGTTCAGAGAATGGTCCTGATGTGATGCCACATGAGGGGCAGGGCTGCTTGCGTCACACGTACTGCCAAGTGCTTTCCACGCAGATGCAATAGGTGACCGTTAAAATAGAAAATCGCAGGGAACTGTGGGATACGACGGCTTCCGGTTCGACGCACCACACGGGTGAGCAGCGGCACGCGCGCATTTTTGTATACTGCTCCGTTGAAAAAAGCACCTTTCAGTGCAATGTCAGTGCTTTAGAAGTTGGTTTTCTTTGAAACCGTGACTGTGACGATGACAAGCTATACGAAAGCCATGAATGGTCCAGAAACGTTTTTGTCGCACTAAAATGATCTGCAATGATTTATGCTGCTCGGGGGTGCTGTCAGTTTGGCTAGCAGATCAGTCGATACACAAAACAGTTTTCCCGGTATGATATGGTACTGCAGATAAAAATTCGCCATTTTAAAGATCTCGAAGGATAAGGATGACTGTAGCAGTGTGCTAAATGTTCATTTTGGCATCGCTGCTTCGGTCGAACTTGTCACACAATCGGCATGAAGCGCAACACTTATCGAGCGCGTGGAGATATTTTTTTTTTCTAGCCTTCAGCGCGCTATAAGATGCATTTCTTAGTCGCAGCCAGATGCTTATTTGAACGTAGATCTTGGTCAAGCTGCACGGCATGGCGGCACATAAACTTAATTCAGTCAGACATAGACGGCGCCGCGTAATCGAAACCCTGCGCTTGTTTAACGCACTTCTTCCTTTGGGTGCCATCCTGGCGCACTGTTTGACCAAGATAAACGCAAATGGACTCGTACAGCGCTTCGTGTAAACTTACTCTTGAGTGAAGCTTTCGCGTTTTTTGTCATGTATATGGCTGCAATGGCCGGCGCTCATCTCGTATGGCAGGTAGATGTTGCCCGCGAATTCCCTAATATCTTTGCTAGGCGTGCCTGAGCGACAATCCACTTCTGAATACAATATTCGCGGAAAATTCATGCGTAAGCTTTTTTTAGAGTGGAATACACACGTGCCTGTGATAAAATGGTTTTCGCACACTCTGGCTTCAACGTTTCGTATTCAAAGGCAGCCTGTCGCTGTTGCTCTCTTCGCAGCCGCTGCACACCTTACTTTTTTTTTCTTCGTTCCATGGGAATTTTACCTGCGTTTGCCTTTCACGCTCAAGTAGGAGCAGCCAACAGCTCAAAAACCGACCATTGTTTATGAAGACGAACAAAAACGGGTGACCGCGCGCGCGAATCCCGAATAATCTGAGGCTTGCGGCGAAGCAGTTCGCTGTCGTCTTCTCTTCTCAAACCGGAAGCCGGTAGCAGACGGTGCATCCCAAAATCTCTCGCTCTTTTACTGGTCACCTATAGACATGTTTTCCACTCCATTAACGTACGTCTGTCAGATTGCTTCCTTCTTGCTGCTTCTTTGTGGCTCGAAGCAATGCCGTCGCCGCTTCACTGAGCAGCGCATGTAGATGCGTTGCAGTAACGCTTCCCCATTGGTTGCTCGCATAGCACCCCGAATGGCAACACGCTATCTCATGAGAGCATATCTTTCACAGAGCCTGCGTGACCACCAATATCGTGAACACGAGGATTGCAAGACGCCATCCCTGGGATTTGTGCAATGCTGAACAAAAAAAATTACTTCATATAACTTGCGTCATGAGGCACTGCATGAAGGGCTCCCCCCCCCCCCCCCCCCCCCGAACCGCAAAGAACGTGCGAAGGCTAGATGATGGGAAAGAGCAGGAAAGGGCTGGAGGACAGGGTGGGGAACAACTGGATCGAGTACATCCGGCTGGCATTGATAAAGCCAAGAAGGCGTTGTTCTGTTCCTGTACGCCAGCCAAACTGCTTGATACCGCCAACCAGAGATAAGATTCGGCGGTAATAACTAGGGCGCTCTTGCGCCGAGTGTTGTATTCGCGTGTTAAGATTGTCAGACACTCCGCCATGCCGGACAGCGGAAAGGTGCATCGTTTTCGCGACCACGCCGTCGCAGGCGTCAACTGGAGAGCGACGCAGTTCGTCGACGAGGTGCCCAGCTCACGCGTGTGCGCTCTCTGCCGCATGATTCCGAAGCGGACTGTGCTGTTGCCATGCTTGCACGCTCTGTGCCAACCGTGCCATGTGGCCAGCTGCCAAGGTGCCAGTGGGCGGTGCCCCTTGGATCAAAAGCCGTTTGACGAAGTGGAGTGCGTCACTTATGACTTGCCTGCCGGGAAAGCGGCAGCCATGCAGGTGAGTAAGTGGTTACCGCATTGCTCTTCGGAAAAGTCTACTCGCGTTACTTAGAACGGCGAGCACAGGGCTCGGTGGTTAAACGCGGAGCACTGGCGGTGAGGGTGACGGGGAGGGGCAGTTTGGTCGTGACGCACGTTTAGTGTGTAATACTCGGCGGTGCTGGTGGAGTGCTGTAAGAATTTGTAACGGACTACCATGTGCTCCAGCAACTTTGCGCAGCTTGGAATGTGAGTTCAGTTTTTTCAAACCGTGGCTGGCAAGCACCGCAATCCGGCCCTACAATGAATTATAAACCCAATGGTTCTCTACCAGTTTCGGTCGCAATCTTATAGTGAATTTAGCTGCGCTGGAAACATGGGCAACATAACACGTGCGCAGGTAACGTGCTTCTCGTATAGCACTGTTCGTGTTTCTAGCACTGTATTAGGATGCCCGAACTTAATGGCGTAAGGATGGCCAGGTTGTTCTGTGGAACCCGCATAAGCTTGTTGAGAACGCGTAGTTGGGCTTGTTTCGCGTCGTGTTAAAATTCGACACGGTGCAAGGGAAAGGGCAACGCACTCTACTTCGTTTAGTCTTTTCATGTTTTTTTTCTGCAGCGTGAACTAAGCCCGTCGCCGTGCATTTGTTCGGGAGGAGGTGGGAAGGGCGGCCTTTTGATAGCTTTGAAAAACATCTGTTCGAGCCGTAGCCGGCAACTAAATTACGTTTTCGCACTGCAAACTTTTCAACCTTGCAGTTAATAGCGCGAGACAGCCGCGCTAGAGCGCCTTATACAAGTGGTCGTTGTGGAAGACTACGGCAATGACAGGCACAGCTAGCCCCTCCAGCCGCAAATGAAGTCGCCATATCACGAGGCCAGATTTTCCCGATAAAACAGCACACGCGGCGCACAGCATTTTACCGACTTAGAGCTGTTGCGTGTTCTGAAGCACAGTTGAGGAAGATCTCGAGTTGCAAGAAGTTCTTGTGTCTATCTCCTCTCTCTCTCTCTCTCTCCGCGGAATGAGGTCCGAATGTAGTTCCACGGGGCAATTGACTAACAGATTCATCTGGGTGGATTCTGCTCTCAAAAGTTACAAGTATACGGGAATAACAATAGAGGTAGTGATACCAGATAATTCGCATGTTGACTAGAATAACGCGAAACAAATATCGTCGTGAGTTGACTGCTTCTAGTTGACTGCTTCTAGTTGACTGCGTTCTAGTTGACTGCTTTTGTAGACTTGTGATAAGGGTAATAATTAACCCGAAGTTTTTTATTTTCTTTGGAGGACAGCAGTGAAGTGACCGACAAATACTTCAACGGTTCCACGTTCCAAGTCTACTCGAAAGCGAAAACAATTTTCGTTTTCTTCGAAGCTTGTTGATTGTTACCCACTCTTTCGAAAGCTTTTCGCACTCAACTCTTTACACAGCCTGTAAGATGAGAAACAATGCAATACAGTGCACCTCTTCCGGTGCCCTCAGTTATGGGCGCACCTTCGATGTCGTGACGTCACGTTCGCAAAAATCACTGATGTAATTTTAGACATTATCGTCATAGACGAGTGGCGAAGTGATGTAAAAAAAATCGCCATCAGGTGACGTGATATGGGGTCATCACGTGAATGCGATTTTTCGCATCACTAGGTCACTCGTGTTGACAAGGCCGAACGTTCGCCTTTGGTCAGGCGTGCAACTCTTGTCCAAATAATCAAGTCCATTGTAGTTGGAAGAGAACGCCTCTGCTACTGCCGTCTATGGCTCTGCCAACTTGTATCTTCAAACTGTAAAACATTGTAATAATCGTTCGCATTGAATGAAACATTACGGACCGATCGAAGCCCTCCAGCTATGAGTACGAGATTATCCTTATGGACTGAATAACTTGAGCGGTTTAATTTTCACGCAAAAAATTGTAATTTCTTGAGCTTTCCCTTCAAGTGTAAAACGTGAAAGCATAAACGCATTGACTTATTCGTAGCCTGCCTTCGGTTCTCGCTTGATGCCTCAACTCGGCCGCCTCCGGCTGCGGCGGCTGAATTTTAGATGGAGGTGAACATGCTGTATGCTCGGGTGCTCGGATTTGGGTGCATGTTAAAGAACCCAAGGTGGTCAAAATTTCCGGAGCCCTCCACTACAGCGTCTCTCATAATCGTATTGTGGTTTTGGGACGTTAAACCTCGCATATCGCATATCAATCAAATCAAAATCAATCAATTCGGCCGCTCACGAATGGAGATCTGTGCGTACAGCATTGACCATTTCAAACTGTTCTTGAATGCATAGTTTGCTAAAATTAACTAGAAGGTACTCCGGCATAACGATCGTTCAGCGACCATGGGAATGATGTGCACTACACAGATTTGCCTAATCTTCGTGATTTCGGGTTTCAAACATGCTTGTGGCCTTGATTATTGTTTTCGTATTGTTTCTAATGAAAGAATGGATCATTGCGAATTTTTGGAGCCGATTTGAAATGGTGAGCCTAAAAAGTTAAGGCAAGTGAAGCGCAACTGATGAACATTTGCGGATTTTTGTTTCGTGACAAAGCAACTCCAAGTCAAGCGAAGCTAAACGGAGCTTAAAGTACTTAGACTAGGCAAGTACGTGCATTACCCATCATTGCCATGCACGCTGCCGCGTTGTGTGTTGCAGCTCCCATATGCCTGCTATAATGTGTACAACAATTACAGTTGCGAACTGCCCACTGCGCAACATTGATTCTTGCGCATCAACAAAGAGCACACTACGCTTCCTTAAGGCAACACGTTAAGCTATGGAGCTGCTTTTTTTTGTTGATGCTTTTGTTGCTATTTATTATATATGTCTGGGCGCTCTACGATTCCGATCACTGTTGCAGAGTTGCCACTCGTGACCCCAAATGGGAATAAAATGAAGGCAAAGCTTGGAGCATTAGGTCGATTGATTCATTTAATATTTGATGTGTGGGGTTTAGCGTCCAAAAATCAGAGCACCGTGGCGGGGTGTTGAGGATTAGCATGAGAATGGAATTTACATTTCCCATGGAATATAATGAAAGTAAATTTCGGTATTTGTGTTCTTCTGCACATACAGCACGCTTTTTTTCTGCCCACTGTTTTTAAAACTTTATACATTAGTAAGTACCTCAATTTGAACAATAAAGCAGTACTATTAATATGGTTGGGCCGATTGCAAGCACGACACATGCATTTATAAGGACACTTTTGTCATTATATTTACTGTGTTGCAGTCAAGTTTGTCTCCACTCTTTCAAGCAACCGCACTTCGAAGCCGTTGGTATTCATCTTGTGAAAGTACAGCAGTGGCGTACACCCCTTACGTCTTATGATTTTTTTTCCCTTGGCGGCACCTCAGCCGCCTGCTGTCTCCCCACTTTTCTTTTCTTTATGCTTGCTTCTGTCGTTGTCGACGATCCAGTCGCATATTCGAAAAAGTGCTTCCCTAAGTGGTCATAAGTACTGACGCTGGCGCTACGCTTGTTTTCACTGCGAGCTTTCTTATACCAGCTTGCGCACCGTTTCACCTAATACACCCCCCCCCCCGTTTGTTTCTTTGTTTGTTTTGTTTGTTTGTTTAGTTTTGTACGTTTTGTATGTTTTTGTTTGTTTCTTTCTTTGTTTGTTTGTGTGCCAGTACAGAAAATGAAGCGAAAGCGAAAGGCTAAAGGCCAGACTAAGCGCCTCTGCTCCAAATGCAGACAGGCTTTCATAAGAATTTTGCAGGATACAGATGAAAAATAAAAAAAATATACAATAAGCTATTTGCAGTGCTCTCGCCCCTACTTAGAGAAGCTGGCGCCTGTGCCCGAAACTTCACGAAATGTGTTACCAACCTGCTACTGCTCGAGCTTGGCGACGTATTTCTCTCCGTATCATCACCATCAGCCTGACTACGTCCACTGCAGGACAAAGGCCTTTCCCATGTCCCGCCAGTTAACTCGGTCCTGTGCTTGCTGCTGCCAATTTATACCCGCAAACTTCTTAATCTCATCAGCCCACCTAACCTTCTGTCTACTCCTAACCCTCTTGCCTTCTCTGGAAGTCCAGTTAGTTACCCTTGATGACCAGCGATTGTCCTGTCTACGTGCTACATGCCCAGCCCATGTCCGTTCCCTCTTGATTTTAATGATTATCCTTAACCCCTATTTGTTCCCTAATCCACTCTGCTTTTTCCTTGTCTCTTATGGTTACACCTACCATTTTTCTTTCCATTCCTCGCTGCGTCCTCCTCGATTTACTCTGAACCCTCTTTGTAAGTCTCCAGGTTTCTGCTCCGTAGCCGAGTACCAGCAGGATACAGCTGTTATATACCTTCCTCTTGAGCGATAGAGGCAATCTACTTGTCATAATTGGAGAGTGCAAGCCAAATGTGCTCCTCTCCATTCTTATTCTTCTAGTTACTTCAATCTCGTGGTTCGGCTCCGCGGTTACTACCTGCCCTAAGTAGATTTCTCCGTATACAATTTTCTACGTATAGCAGATTTCTCCGTATATATTTATTCGTATATAAATTGGCAAATACAATGCTAAAGTCCACCCCCCCCCCCCCCCCCCCCCCCCCCAAAACAAAAGTGCGTGCCTTCATTATCGCTATAGGTCCACGTTGTCAAAGCATCCCAGCGAACACTCAATCATGTTGCAAGTTTCCCCGCAGGCATATTTTGTGAAAATATTTCGCCTCAGCAGAGTTCAGCATGCGCTGCCTTTTCATTGTTCAGGACGGTTTTGTAAAAACCTCGCCTGTGCCTGTATTGTTCGGTCACCCAGCGCGAAATTGGGTCGCAGGCACACCAATTTATGACATTTTGCGTTTCTGCCTTTGTTTAAGAAGCAGCTTCGCGATATCTTATATTATCAGAGAACAGTCGAGGACAATGAATAGTCGAAAAAGATGCTTTCGAAATGGTAGTTCCACATGTCGGGCGTGC